CACACACACACACACACACACACACCTTTCTTTCTTCTTTAGTTCACACTATGATAAAGCCAATCTTAAGATGAGGAAAGACTCCAACTAGGTTAAGCCAAGAAAATAGCCCAAGGAATACAAACATCCAGATCTTCACTAATGATAATGGACATGGTCACATGCACACGAAGGGCCATATTGGCACCCGGTGTGTGCCCTGCATTACGGCTCAGGCCATCTGTGTCCCAGGAGCACCATATGGGAAAGCATGTTCTGGATGCTGGTCTTAGGTTTAGCAAACTGGCTGACTGCTCTGTGGGATAAAGGCTATAACAACATGTTTAACAGGTCAACATGCTAATCCTCATGCTGTTTCTCAGCCAACATCTGCAGTGGTCAGTGTCTTTGCTAAGCATTCCCAATCTGCCTAGAAGAAAGTAATTATAGCGGTTTTATCTGACCTAATAAGCTTAACATTTAGAGTCAGGCACTACGGCCAACCCCTACTACAGCTTTACATAGCTGTATCCTTTAAGATTAATAAGATAATCAATCAAATGGTCTCTGGCACTGGTTAAACGCATCGGTTTATTTGCATTATGGCAGGGGAAGGAAGAAAGAAAAATAATTGCACACAGCAAATTTGAATTCAAACAGAGCCAAAAAAATATGTAAAAGTTCAAAAGTAATAAGGAAAGCATCTTGAAACATCCTAGAAACTATTTTTCAATCCATCTGTCTCTCTAGCGCTTTCCAAAAAAAAAACCCCTGCATTTTATAGCATCCCATTGTTTAAAATTTTCATGATGAATAACTATATACAATAGGTCAGAAGATGTGATTGTTTCAGATAAGTAGAGCATGAAAACTAAATATTGCTTCTCCATCTTTTGGTCTACAGTAGGTATGTAGAGTGGACTTAAGCCAGATGACCCGAGAGGTCTGCAGTTCACTTACTGACAAGTCTGCAATGAAGGCTCAGACTGGTAATCTGTGATACCGGATAGTTGCCCGGTCCTAATTTCAGCGTGTAACACTTTCTCTACTGCCGAAGCACCTACCTGTGACAGTAAAGAACTATATAGCCCTTTCTTGTTATGTACATCCTTGTGACGGTTGGCATATGGCATAATTTTCTCTTTCTTCAAATAGTAAAATTGTATTTCTTCAAACTGTAAAATCCTTGCAACAAACTAAATAATAAAAAAACGAAAATGCGTTCTTTATAAGTCCCCGGTGTAGATGGAAAAATGCCAGGGCCGAAAATCGATCCCAGTCCTAGCCCGCTGCAATGTCATTTTTTTCTTGGCGTTGCTGGTCTTAAAGAGTCCTATCCCCTGTTTTGACTCATAGGAAATGTTATTTCAGCTCCATAACTAGTATTTACCTCCACATTAACTTAAATCTGATTTTTTTTTTTTTTATTTCATCACTGCTATTCTCTGGAGAAGTTTGTCACCGTCATCTGTTAAAAGGTCGGCATCCTGACCTGATAGCTGGATAATCTTTGAGTGTCACTAATTTTTAGTAGTTTACTCCATCTTGTGAAAAGTTTTTGACTACAATGCAAGATGATACAAGTTAGAGAAAAACCAAATAGGAAACTAGTGGAGAAAAGTGTCCAAGCAAGCCCACAAGAGAAAGTAGACTCAAAAAAACAATAATAATAATAATCAGCCATTTTCTGTTTGCTTATTAGCTGTAAGCAGGACATTATCATAATTACAATATATAAAGGCTAAAAAAAAAAAAAAAATTTTTGAAATTAATCTACACTGCCTTGCAAAAATATTCAACCCCCTTGGCTTTTTGCACATCTTATTTTATTAGATTCTAATCTGTAATTTCAATGTCTTCTAAGTCCAGAGAATTGAGTGAAGCAATAACAAAAAAGTATATCAGTTGAAAAAAAGTAAACATTTTTGACTTAGCAAATAGGTATAGGGGGAAACGTGACCCTGATTCATATAGTAGCTACTGGAAGCAGGTGTGTTATTTCTTCCAAACAAAATGTACAACTCCTTCCATTTAGATTAGAAATGTTCTCTGCTCCTCCTACTATTTCTTCCATATTTGCCTTATCCGACTCCATGATCACCAGAGGTGGGTGTTAACTAGTTATTTTTACTTCAGTAACTATATATTTCTTGTCATTTTTTTCGGTACTAGGTCACAGAAGAAGCGGTTTCAGCAGATACTCTAAGACCTTCCTCCCCCCTAGACACCACCTCCAGCTCTGGTGGGGAAAGCCAGAGGCATTCCCAGAGCAGTCAGGATAATAAACACAAGAAAAACCTGGTTGCAACATATTTACCCAAATAATTATTTTAAGATAAACCATTACTTTCTGGCTCACTAGAATGTTTCAGATTTTGATAAACTTTCCATAAAGGAAGAAAGCTAAAAACACAAATAAATGTATTTTGATCATTTACTGAACTGAATTCATAAACTTTGTTTGATTCCCTACCCAAAGTCCACAATAGCTCTGCTTTAAATGTAGGCGTACCGCCAAACATTATCTAGAGATTTGGTGCTACTGGCTCTGTTGTTGATGTCGGGAATGGCTGTGGAGGCCTTGCAGAGACAAAGGTGGAACAGAACTGAGAAATATCTGCTGCTTCTCTGTAACTTGATTTTGACAGTTTGTTTTTCATGCTTCAAATATGTGACTCAAATGCCTCGATTCCCATCGTACCAAGCTGGAATGACTACGTGCCTCATATGCTTTCCCTGGTTATGGTTTTAGTCATGCTGAAAACTCATGGATGGATAAACATTTTTTTTCTAATTTAATCTTCTAGATGTTGTCCAGATAAATAGTTAATGGCGCATCACCCCCAAGGTCCGGCTGTTTTTATTGGTTATGTTATCGGGATGGAATCAATTATGCTTACAGCGAGCCAATTGGTAAATGTAAAAAATGTATTGTCAAGTATTTTAATGTTTGGCTGCTCAGTAGGCCAGTAGGTAACACTGCTGCCTTGAAGCACGAAGGTTCCATGTTTGATTCCCGGCCCGGGGTCTTTCTGCATGGAGTTTGCATGTCCTCCCTGAGGATGCTTGGGTTCTCTCCGGATACTCCAGCTTCCTCCCACAGTCCAAAAACATGACTGTTGGGTTAGCTGGCTTCTCTAAATTCTCCTTAGGTGTGAGTGTGTGTGTGAATGGTTGTTTTTCCTGTTCGTCTCTATGTTGCCCTGCGATGGACTGGCGACCTGTCCAGGGTGGACCCTTCCCTGGAGAAAGGCACCAGCACCCCTCCCGACCCCGCTTGGGATGGAAAATGGATGGATGGATATTTTAGAGTTTGATATGGATTACAAAAATAAAATCCTATATATGACGTAACAATTGTAAGACCTATGAAAGACATTTTAATAACAATTAAGCCCTTAGTTTTATATTGAAGAATTCAATGCCTTTGGAGGCTTTTTAGGGACTATCCAGAAACTTAATCAGTTTCTGGATAGTCCTTCTGGATTTAAGACTGTTGTATTCGTACCTTGAACATCTGTTTAACTTTCTGTCGTGGCAGGTTGACGTTGAGTTTATGCAGGAGCTGAAGGACCTCATTGATGCTTAAACTCCCATCTCCGTTCTTGTCAGCCTCGGTGAATGTCTGTTTTAGCCATGTTAGGACACGTGAGTTAAGGAAAGAGGAGATTAAAATAAAACGTGTTTCTTTACAGAACAACAGAGGGAAACTTAAAACTCCATCTGATAACACTTTGAAGGATATTGGTCACGGGTGCGTTGTCTTTTTGCCAAGCTGTCCTCATCACTGATACCAGCCATCAAGTACTTGAGCCCAGTAATCCAGGTCCGTGCCTCCTCTCCTGTACTAGACACCAGGTCCAATGACTCCATGTGTTCTCCATAATATAGGCTGAAGCAGCAATTTGGGTCAAAGCTGCCATCTGCGTACCGCTGGAATATCTCAGATTGCTTCCCCTCGCAGACCTCACGAATGGAGTCGATGGAGACTGGAAAAACAAGAAGATGGTTCAATTAAAAAAAGTTTGAGTAGTTTGAGTATTACTTCCACTTTATCAAAAAGACAAACTATACTTTTGATTAAAAAGAACATAAATTTGCTGCCATGGAGTTTTCAGATCTTTCCAACATCTGAGCAGATGTTTTCACCTAATGCCCTGATCTCAACACCATGTAGCCGTTGCTAGTCTAAGTTAAGGCGCAACAACAGTATGGGCTTCCTTGGAGTCCCTGTAGCTTTGGCATAAAACAACATGCACATAAACTCACTTGTTCAAACTTAAAGAATGATACCTGGAAACATCAGTTGTAGTGATAGAGATGAAAGGACAACCAAAGCTATACATCAGCATTTTTTAAATAGCACCAAAATTCATAGCGCGCTCTGCACTGACCTCCCAAGCCAGATGTTACCATCTCTGGGATAATGAGCTCCAGCTGTCTAAGGCATCCAATCAGCTGACGGTGCTGAAGGACTCTTTACAAAACCAAACATGCCAGCTGTCAGTTGCTATGGTGCATTCAAGGACAACTGGTTCCCCAGACTGTCCATGGATCACCAGATCATTTGAGGTTTGTCACAACATCTTTGACAACTAAGTTGCTTTAATCAAGATGCAAAATGAATTTATTCCTTACCAAAAACTAACTAAATCTCTGATGAAGTCTATACCGGAAAATAGCATTTGGGAAATGCAGCTGGGATAGCTTGACCTTGTAAAACGTTTGCTAATTTACAACCATCTTTAAAAACAAATCATAACTGAATCGAACTATTCAGGGCTTATAGTGTGGAAACAACTAATTAAACTATTTTTCACTCACAACACTTACTCTTTGCCTTCTCATTCTTGCGTGACGGCCTCCAGCGGATGCAGGACTTGTGTTCGTCCAGGTAAAAGAACCGGACCAGTCCCTTGGAGCCCCCGCGGAGCTTTACCATCTGGGTCCCAATCTGCATGGAGCTCATGCATTTCTCCACTGCAAGACAAAGCACATGGCAGATGGATTAAAAAACAAGGTTGGAAACTTGTCAAAGGGAAACTGTTGGACTGTATGGCAGAAATAAGGAAGCATTATGTTTGTGTGGGTTTATTTCCATTAAATCCCATATGATTTCTAATACAACATTCAGTTATTTTCCACTATCACGAACACAACGTTGTGTAGTTAAGAACCTGGATTACTTGTCAACGCTTGCAATGTGAAACTGAGGCATAAAAAATACAAATAAAGACAGTAAATGGTGAGAATATTTTTGCACAAAAACTCCACACAGAAGACACGGATAAAAGGACAACTTGAACATTGGCGAATCAAGCATCTGCGGCAATAAAATGACAATGTTGAAAATACAGACTGGACTAAATGTCTGTCAGTAAGTCTGAAGTCGTGTGCATGATAATTTAGCCACAGCAAGGCTCTACATGCCCTGGGGCTGCGCATTCCTACACGGTGAGCAAATTATCAAGTGTCTGTCACATCCCATCAGACAGTTCCCTTGCAGCGTTCATGAAAGTAGGCCACCTCTAGGATCAGACATGAGGGGGCCAACTGGAAAACATACAGAAAGTAGAACCAACTATAATGAAAAAGGGTTTTGAGTTTGGTTGCAAGAGGTAGCTATGGGCTAGCTATTCAGCCCATATTCTATGGGGTAGCTATTCTCCTTAAGTTGTTAAACTTCATAAATTGACTGTTCTTAACTCCAAGCTTTACCAAGAGAATGGTTGGCACCTCTTGTATGAAAGGACCGGTTTAAATATGAGTTATGAAAGGTGCACAGAGGCTGCTGGGCCTATTCTACTGCTGCTGCTGTGACTCATTGTTCGAGATGAAAAACTTTATACCTGACCTGAAGCAGTCTGAACCAAAATTACCAAAATATCTTTTTTTTCCGGCCAAAAAAAAAAAATGTTTTTTTTTTTTCTGTGGATTAAAGAGGGGACTGCTAACCTGGTGGGTCAGGTTAGCATTGCTCACGATATAAGGACATATCAGAACCAGGAGCTGTGGAGCCAACATGTTAACATAATCTCATGAAAATAATCACTAATTCTCCATTTGATTGATGTTTAATTCAACTAAAAGAAAAATGTCACACCAGAAGACAACATGTAAAAACAGGAAACCTTCAGAGCTGATAGATCCTCCTGTGCCAGATTTTATAAATGCATAACACATGAATGACTCTGCCAGCAGCACAGCATGGCTCTGGCTGAGCATTGATTTGGCCTTGTTGTGGGCCTCTTGCACATGGTTCGGCCCCAGGGTGTTGTTAATGTAGTCCAGCCCCATTCTCCTGACCTCTGCTATTGGATTCCTGTAAAGGAGCATATTAATAGACTCCCAGAGTTAACCAAACAACAAACAACAGCAGGGTTCAAGTCATTTAGCCGTGGATCCCAGAGGTCCACATGGATCTACTAGTGTTCTGAAGTGGTAGAGCTATTCTGCTGTAGCATCGGTAGACAGTGGAGCATAATCACATGACAGCAATGTTTCAGATGAAGGAAAAATAACTGATCATGATCTAGAGCAGGGGTCTTCAATGTTTTCCAGGCCAAGGACCACCAAACTGATGTAGGGATGGATCTGGGACCCCCTAATTATTCTATTGTGTTCTATCAAACTTGTCCTATAGTCACTCTATTACAGATTAACTCATTTAGCGAAAGTAATTTTGTTCTGGGATTATTAAAGTTTTTCTGATTCAGATTCCTTGTTGATGGGACTGGTGTTGTGAATAAAATGGTGCCCAGCTTGAAAGAGCTCCTGTGTGTGGCAGAATGTGTGCATTGATGACTGAAAGACATCTCCTGCCTCGGTTTATCTCTTTACAACAGTCTGTTTTGAATTCATGTTAATGTTTATTTAACCCTTTAAAGCCCGATCCAAGAATAAACCAAAACAGAAAATTACTTTTTTGGGGTTTGAATTCCTTATTTGCCCTTTTAACAAAATATGTAAAAAGAAAAAACAGAAATACATTTTTGATATTANTCAGATGCAAAACATTTCAGAAACCGTATGTATCAGATATGATACATTTGGCATTATAGGGTTAAAGGAATTTCAATTAGTAGAAAAAATTGCAGGGGGTATATAAATAAAATAAGTCTAATCAACCAAAACTTTTGCGACCCCTATGCAGTACCCCTGTGGACCCCCTAGGGGTCGCGGACCCCTTGTTCAAGACCTCCGATCTAGAGAGTTTGTCTGACTGCAGGGATGGATTGTGTGTTTTCAGCATGACCTCTGGAACGGAGGAGCAGCTGCTCCAAAGCCTCATTGTTCCGATGCAGTTGACTACAGTTACATCGTCCTCAGCATTGCTCATGAACGTGTCTGACCAGTCAGTAATCAGTGTTGGGCAGTCATATGAAGGCTGTACAATATTTCTAACTTTCTGCAAAAGATTTGTATTTTATTTTAATGCATTCACCGCTTGTAATAAATTAGTCCTCCACTCAGCTGAGTCATTCAGTCTGAATTCACCATCAACATCAATACAGTTTCAGTTTGAGGAAACAAACAAAAAAAACATGGGATATACTGTATAAGCAACCAAACCATAATGACTTTACAGTGTGTGCTCATGCTGGATAAATGTGAAAAGAGCCGATATTGATCTCAAAGAAAGAGTGAATATCTGGGAACAGCTGCTCAATACAGAGAGTGAAAGAGAGCCAAGGATTGGGACTTGTTCAGCCAGAGAGAAGGCAGCAGTCCATGAAATAAGCTTCAGCTGCACAGAGATCATCTGGACTTTGCAGGACACAATCAGATTACTCTACAGATCCAGAGAGAAAAACTTCCTTTACAGCTACACCCATTCAAAGAACATAAAATAGGAAATGTATAAAATTAAAATACAGTTAACTAAATCCAACTATAAGAAGAGATGTCTAAAGTTCTGAAAAATGACTAAGTAAACAACAACATCCACCAACAGGGAAGGAGTTTACATGCCAACTTCACAAAAACAAATTATTTCATGATGAACTATGGTCTTATTTAAATTGGTGGGGAGTAAAAATGGCTCAGATTTGTAAGTCAAGAAGTAAAAGTCCTATTTTTTATATCTCTAACAAAATAAAATGAAAATTCTCAGTTAAGAATACTCAGTAAACTACAGATCTAAAAAAAAAGGGGGAAAAAACTGCAAAGTGAGTTACTAAACAACTACAATAAACGGGTAACAAAAGGTTTAATAAAATGTTCAAATAATTAAAAATGTTTTAAAAAGTAACAGTGTAGGAGAAGAAATGTAGATGTAGACCTCTCAAATGTAAATATGTCAGTCTGTAGACTGCTTAACTACATAAATAACATTGGAGCAGCAAGTTATGACCCAGACTGTGGTTTGGACTGAGTCCAGTGGCAGCAGATGAGAATGACTTCCTGTAGCACTTAGTGTTACATCCACTAAATATGCTCCTGTGTCTGTGCAGCGGGACTTTGAAAGCATCGTCTGCTTTGATGCCACAGGCAATCAGTCGCTCCAGCTTCACTCCCATCACATCGCAGCCTTTTGAGCCTACTAAACTTTGAATTTCAGAGTTTCATACCTTCTCCTGACATGGATATAGACGCCCATCCCTCATTTTCTTGAAGCAGATGAAGGATTCTTGTTTTCAAGCATTGCAAACTCTCACCAGCTCCAAAAGATAACACTGAAACTCTTTCATGGATTAAGTTTGGGAAAAAAAAAAAAGATGCTTCTCCTACTGAACTTTGCTGGACAGTTTCAGGTATTGAAAAATAAAGCTTCTACTGAATTAAATGTGTAAATATACAAGCTAAAACTCCTAAAGCTGATTTAGTATCTTAACTTTAAATTTCTTTCTAAAATAGAAAATATTAGGTATGCATTTCTATAAAACTAGGCAAATATTTATGGCCAACCCCTTATATTTGATAATATTAATGAAATGTCTCTACCTTTGTGTAATATGGAGAAAATCCTTAACTAGGCATATGCAAAGATATTTTTAGGTCAGATGTTGAACCTAAAAACAAATAAAAAAGCACAGAGTGCAGACCTCTGCTAAGTACCTGATTTTCCCTGACATAATGAGACTTCACCCTTTAGTGAAAACCTGTATTCATAGAATCTTTCAAAAAAGAAAATACTGCAACTGGATTATGATGTGTATCATCCCCAAAATGTTATGGATTTTTCCTTGAACTGATTTGCTCCTTTGGTAAACATTTTATTACAATCCTTTCATAACTTTTTAGTTGTCCTGTACACAGACAGTCACACACACACAAACTCTCCTAAAATCATAACCTCCTTGTTGGAGGTTAAAAAGGAAAAAAAAAAAACATTAATTGTCCAATTGAATCATAAGATAAACAAAAAACAGTTAAAAAAAACGGTGTGCTTCTGCTTTCCTCTTCTGAGCATTTTGCTGCAAAATTAACAAAATCAGTATTATAGCACAAATCAAGATTTACTGAATCCCCATCAAAAAGACTGGATCCATACACTGAAACATTAAGAATGGGATAATTAAGTAGCTCAACAGAAAGCTGCAGCTGGAAGTTCATGTTATGAAGGAGAAAGATAATAAACATTTTCCTTATTTATCAATTGTTTATATTCTGCTCTATAGAGAATTATATTAAAGTCTTCTATATTAGTTTTTAAACTTAATTAACTACCAGAAAGCTAACTTTTTGCCTGAAGGTTGAGCAGAGCAGGAAACTATAGTTATAAAGCCTTTTTCTGTTGAATACTTGACTGTGAGAGCTAATTTTCCCCCCCTCTGGGATTTCATATCAAAAATAATTAAATGAAACAAACCTGGTGAACTGCTATAATCTGTAAAGCACTGAAACTGTCTTTAGATCCTGTCTGCTTGTCCGCCGATCAGTCATTGAGCCTCTATACCCTCCCAGCCCCCTCTTCAGTAAACGACCAGAGGCTGTGAAATCATGGATTTATGAGTAAAAAAATGTGTCAGCTATCCAAA